TTATCTGAGGTTCCCGCGGACATTGTGCTATAGATAGCGGAGATGATATGTACATTGCGTATCGGATACTCCACATGTGGTAACATGCTGTGTACAACGGTTATGTACTAAGAATATGATATTGATCTTCCATGAAGTGTTCTCAATAGGGTATAGCATCCATATGGGCGTAATAAAAGGTGCTCGAGCGCTAGGTTACTGAATGGATGTACTACCTGTTGGCTGACGTACTATGTACACTATGTGTAACATCTGATACCATGGTAGTACCATAGTAGTCCATAGTGTCGCCATGGTACGTACTGATGGTCACACGGTATGGCGAACATCTGAGGTACCGCATGGTAGTAGCGCTACCATGCGTAACACTGGATGGTAACATTTACTTTATGCCTTCCTATCCTTAGACGCATGCCCACTCCGGACCGAGTCATTTACCAACAGATCAACGCACAATCAACCCATACAGGACATCTCTTTCTCCACATTACGTGTTAGACATTAGAATTGATTATTCTTGTCTGTCACATACTATTTTGTCTTTCACATAAGTGGCGCAAGTTGCACAACTGATGCGGTATTGCGCTAAGGGGAAATTATTTTGACCGGTCACTTTGACCGGAGAGATTTAGATTTGCCGGTCTTCAGCATATTTTACCGGTCATAGTCCGGTAATTACCGGCTAACGGGAACTCTGACACAACCCGCTGACGTCAAAGCCCTCTTAAACGGGGCTCCGCGCTGTAGTGGAAACGTGCCATTAGACGCTTCTTATGAGACTTGTGTTTTGTTTTGGTAAAAATTGTTCATATCTTCAGTTAGCTGAGATTCTTCCCGTTAATCCGGTGCTACATATTAATAGTTTCATAAATGTTAAGAAGCCCTGAGACACAGTCTAAAAAAAAAACGTTGGGAGGCCCCCCCTGTGGGCTTAGCAGATTTTAACAGTCAGATGTTAACACATGGAAGCAGCCAGCCGTTAGCCATCAGTCATCGTTAGCTGCTAGCCGTCAGTCGTCGTTGTTAGCCGTTAGCTGCCGTTGTTAGCCGTTAGCTGTCGTTGTTAGCCGTCAGTCGTCGTTGTAAGCCGTTAGCTGTTAGCCGCTGTCGACGGCCGTTAGCTGCAAGCCGGTAGCCGTTATTCGATGTCGTCGGCCCCGGAGTCTCTGCCAGGCGGCGTGCCTTTACCAGGGAAGGTGCCGCTACGTGTAGTGGCCAGCAACCCAGGGGTAAATCGCCGGGCGGCCAGGAAAAACCGGTCAGCTTCTTCAGCTAAAGCGCGGGGCTCCACACTAGCCTTGTTAGCGAGCGCAGCCTGGACAGGCTCCGCATGTCCCGAAGAAACAGTCCCATGAACAAGAAGTCGGGTTCTTCCGTACCTAGCAGGTCGTGTATCGTCTCCATGTGGTCGGAAGGCTTGCTGTCTCCCAGCGCCGAAACAATGTGGGAATGGCGAGCGACGTCCTCTGCCATTCCGCGGAGGGCGCACCGAGCCTCAGACCGTGTGCATGAGGCGAGAAGGGAAAGAAGAAAGGGGGGCACACAATAAGTAGTCAACATCATATGTGTCCGTGTGGAAACAATACCATAGTAAACCCATAGTTCCATGAGTGAATTATGTAACCTAGATAATTAGTGATCACTACAACCTATAATATATTGTGGAAAAATAGTAAAAATGGGGGACCTTTAATAAAACTCAAGTACAGTACTCGAGTAAATGTACTTCGTTACATTTACATTTCACCCCTGGGCCCTGGTAGTGTTTTAGCAGGACTTATCTTGCTCCCAGCATCCCCCTCCCCTCCCCTTCTCTCCTCCTACTTCTCCCTCTCCCTCCCCGCTGCTGCATTGATGCTGTTACCTCCCTCCGTGGTGATGTCACCGGCTCAGTGGAGCTCCAGCATCCTTACACAGGCAGCCAGACAATAGGGTCATTTTGACCGTTTTGGAGTGTGAAGAAGCGGCCGAACCTCCAATCAACCGACCGGTCACCTTCCGTACCTTTCTGGGTCCCGCACTGACACCGTCAGTCATAACCTCAGCGCCTCGGTGTTCATGGGGAGGAGAGGCTGCTAGCGGGAGGCAGAGCTGGAGGACACCGGCGGAGGTGGAACTAGCCTCGGAGCTAAACAAGACAAACGACCCCTGATAAACAGTCTCTACACGGGAGACAAACGTTTCTGGCACTGCGTAGGTAGGTTACCTTTTTTGCATTTTCCCATTGTCCCGCCGGTAATGCAATTTTAACGAGACAGTCCCTATTTACTACTTGGTGTTAAATCTCCTGGGAAGAGATGAGCATAGGGTGCGGCCATTGAGGAGGCTGTCAATGTCGGAGAAGATAAGACAGGAGGAGGACTGTCACACAGAACATTATATTATTTTATAGTGTGTACTGTTTGGTAAAATATATATTATTTCTGTGAGCAGGATAACTGGAAAATATGCTCTGTCATTGGGCGAAAGGTAAAGACGTGTTGTTCCTTCAGCTATTATTGAGAAGATGCTAGCCTATATCATAAACTCTGAAGGTGACGCAATATATTTTTTAGGAAAAGTCATGACAGCAGTGAAGTGTCAGTTTGAGCCCAACCTAAAAGCCTATGGGCCCTAAACTAGCGTTAACCTGCTGTCATGCCAAAAAGCTACCAGATAAATCTTTATTTTTCTTGGGGTGACAAGGTCAAATTGTTTGTCGTTATGTTTGAACACAAACCAATGTGGCATGAAACATTATATTATATTAGCCTTTGTCGCCGGGAAGATGGTGTCCGCCCAGCTGAGCTGCATCATCATTTGATGGTCTGAGCACCACTGTGAGATTATGATGATGGTTGATGGAGCTAACAGATTATAATGTTATGATTTATGAATTTGCATTCTTGTGTTTTTTTACCAAATATATTATGTTGCAGTGGTTGAGCACATGTACAAATTAACCATCTACGTTTTATCTTCATTCTCTCATTTCATATATAAAAAGTTTTCTGAATTATATGACAGATCTTTTATATTCTATCTGTCTATTTGGATTATTAATCTTAATTTGACATCAGAACAAAATAGCGTCAGATACTGTTTTTTCCATTGTTACAATCTGCGTACATCTCCCAAATTAAACAGTTTGGGGCCAGGAGAAAAGGGTGTAACAGGAAGCAGGGTGACACAGCAGATTTACAATTATGATGACGGACACATGAGTCACAAAGCATGTACTAACCAGGTACGAACAGACTTTGAATATTTGTGCGACAACTATCAATATCCTAAATCTTGGGCATATTTAAGTGAAAGAAATACATTTTGTCTTATTGATGTGCTATACGTTATGTTACATTTTAACTATTTGCACCTGAGGCATGCAGTGAAAGCTAATTGTATCATATTGCTCCTTCTTACATCTTATTGATGAAAACATTAAACGATTGTAATCTCATCGCTACAGATGATGAGTCATGCTCAGCCTCAATAGACTGATGTGACACCACCCTCAGAAATCAAACACTGTGATTTAATGTTCATATTTAGTCTTTAGGAGGCAGTATTACGGGTTGTTAATGAAACCTAACTGCTGCAAAGAGCCTGGATTTGTGACTGGTTTCAGTGCCATTGTCATCCAGAGAAGTAGCCTGACATTTAACTGCTGCTGCACTTCTTTTGTTACTGCAAGCTTTATTAGCCATCTCCCTCGGCTGTAGCTGACCACGCATGGTCTTTTCATGTGACAGCCACACAGCCCTGCCCTCTCTTTTGTGCTCCTCACGTCAACAATAAGGTGTAATGTTCTACTCTTAAAACTTTAAAACTAATGTAAAAAAAGTCCTCCGTTTTTTACGTAACAAAATACAACATGTCTTGGTGGCATAAGACTGTTGCAGCATGTCATGTATACACGGGATAAGGGCCAGAAATAAGGGGAAACAATGAGAGGAGGGATATTTTTGTAATTTCTTAAATCATTGCATACTGAGAAAAAGGCACAAAGTTATAACCCATGGGAAATGTTTCTGTTGTTTATGAATAAGTGTCATGCATAAAATTATGTATTTTTATTAATTATAGTTGTAATATAATAATCAAACTGGTGGCAGTAAATCAATACTACCGTTAGCTGACATACTGAAAGTATATTTTAACTAATCATTAACCAATACCATTAACTCAACATTTTGACTTGATTTTCAAAGTGACATTTTTTATTGTTTTATTTCTCTTATGTCTCGCCCCAATCCTCTTCCTACATTTGCATATGATACACACAGATAAAACGAGTAATTGTATATTTTAATATTTACGATCTGCTGTTTTCACAGACCTGCAGGCCTGACACCTGGGCACTAGAGAAGGCACCTTAAGGTGCTAGACAGAAAGCAGCATGGCAGGGGCCTCTGTGAAGGTGGCGGTGCGTGTCCGCCCCTTCAATTCAAGGGAGATCGGAAAGGATAGCAAATGCATCATTCAGATGACTGGAAACACCACCAGTAAGTATTTCTCTTATATGTACCCGTTACATTTGTGTAATGACTTTAATTTAGGGATAAACATAGATTGTAAGAACAGTTGCTTCACACTGCATCAGAAGGGAAGTGGTTTTCAGACGGCACCAAGCTGTAACCTTCTCCAACAGACGGCCCTTTCTGACCTACTGCTGACCTTGACCTCTGACCCCCCAACACAAGAGGATTACGGAAAAGATGAATTCCCTTTTTAATTGAGTCATTAACGACATGCATTGTGAACTAGCAATACCTATTCCAAGACATGATATGAGCAGGAAATATATTAAGAATAAGCTTTCATTTCTTAAAAAGATGACGGACAGTCTGGATGCAACAACTATATGATTAATCGATTATTCTATTGACAGAAAAAGTAATTGGCATTTTTCAATAATTGATTCATTCTTACACTACTTCGTTATAACAAATGTGCATGAAATGCTTGCTTTTGGAAATGTATGCTTTTCTCTGTTTGATATCATACAAATATTTCAGTTTTGGACAAAAGAACATTTCTGACATTGTATACCAAACCATTAATTCAGTAAATATTTGGCCGATGTTTGTTGTAGTCTTAATTTTAATGTATCTATTGAGAAATGTCATCCTGTTGAGATTTTATGCAAGATTGACAACTTTGTAATTACTCGCAGTTATCAAATGAAAACTGTGAAATCCCTTTCACAGTAAATCTCTTGAACGTCATGCTGTAGGTGACATAATCCCGTGCATAGCTGACCTGATATTTATTTAGGGCAAGGTCTGTTATTTGTGGCCAAATTAAGCAAGATAAAAAAAGCTCCTTATTCAACACTTTCAACATCTTTCCTTCTTTTAGAAATTAATGGAGATATTCAGTTAGCAGATAATAAAATAAAAATAACCCATATAATCACTTGTGTACTTGCATAGCTACAGTATACTCTCCTGCAGCCTCCATTTGTTTTTGTGGTCATATGTTGTATGTTTTTAAGTAAAGTTGAGAGCAGCCCACACTCCTTGGGTTATTCAGTGCAGAGTGAGGACTCTGGTTGGGAGGAGACTGGAAGGATACTCGATATGGAGTCTGCTTAGGAAGGTAAAGCCGTTTGTCAATAATGGATGAGGCTTCCTGAAATATTTACCGTTTGGCCTAATTTAGCCGTCTCCCCCCTCCTTCCTCATGTCATGGGTGACTAGACATCCAGCTGGGGAGCTTTTTTGGGCCGACTATTTTAACTGTATGATGTATTGCTTTTTGTGATGTAGCTCCCTTTTAGACTGAATACTTTCAATCTCCAATTAATGGTTGGAATGGTAACACAGTCCCTCCAGGATTTCAGTGGAAATCAGATGAGTATTTTGCCTCCAGCTTGTTTCCTTCAGCTGTGTGAATTGAGATCACTGTAATCCAGAGCGACTGTATTTACAGTGAGGATACCAAAAAAATTTCCTTGGAGATGTCCCGTTAGATTCTTTCTGCAATTAGAATTTCTGTTATCACACAAAGTTGGTTTGTTGTTTTCAATTAAGCAAGTCATTGAAGTACATGCAACTTAAAAAAGGCTTGAGCTTCAGGTATTGCCACTGTCATGCTAGCATGATGTTTGTTTTTTTCATTATTTGCAAAATTCACTATCCTATTCTTAAATAGTGTTTGTTGGGAGAACCCCTGGACCCAACACAATGCTGTACTGTGTACTGATGCTTATTCTACTGTATACACAGTCAGTCAGGTCGTCAAAGCACAGCATGACATGTAAAACATTTAGGCAACAATTCAAAGTTGACTGCAAAGAAAATACTTGGTACTTGGCTGCTTCTGGCACTTTTTAGAAAAGTAGTTTTTTCTGATCTGATTACAGTCAAATGGTTAGAATAACACATATAAGTAACACAAACATGTGTAAACCTCTTCTCAGGACTGCACCCAAGACCATCCTGGAGCTTGTTGACTATTCCCCACATTATAAAACACTTCTACAAGAAGGTACATTGATACATTGCAATGAGTTTCAGGGTAAATGAACATGACATATTTTGAATAACTAAAGAGTAACCCCCAAATAGATCCCTTTATAGACAACATTAGGTTGGTATGAACAGATGTTATTAGGCCAGGCCAGACTTCTGTTTAAATAGTCTCCCTTAAAAAAATAAAAAATGGGTTTACAGTGTGAATTTACACACGGCATCTATTGCACGTCTGTCCGTCCTGGGAGAGGGATCCCTCCTCTGTTGCTCTCCCTGAGGTTTCTCCCATTTTTCCCTTTAAACTGTGGGTTTTCTCCGGCTTTCTTTCTTCCGTGTACAATGTGAGGGTCTAAGGACAGAGGGTGTCGTATTGTCATACTGATATTCTGTACAAACTGTGAAGTCCACTGAGACAAATGTATCATTTGTGATGGGCTATATAAATAAACATTTATTGATTGATTGATTGAACAGTACCAGAGAACTTGTTGGTCCGACCCACCAGGAGCACAAAGCTGCTCTCAGTGAGCTGCAGGTCTTTCAGCAGATTCTCTTCCAAACTGAGTCAAAGGCTCTGGATGTGGGCTGGAGGCTGTGAACAGACTGATGTTGTGAAAGAGCCCATTGGATGCAGTGTCTGGAGGGGGTACAGAAGCAGGGTATAAATGCCTCCTTGTCTTTTAGTACTCTGTGCCGAGGAAACATAGAAGAAGAAGGAGTGTTTTTTTCTGTGGGCGTCTCACTCTCTGCTTTGTGCTCTCTGTCACTTAAGAGTGGGTCAATACCCCGGTTCCCACAAAGCAGAGAATGGCAGTAATCTGGTTGTGTGAGAGGTCTCCCCTCCCACGCTTGCTTAATTAAGATGCAGGGACAGACCTGCAGAAAAGGAGGCCTCTCTTCAAAGGGTTTTGATTGCATACAGTATACTCCGTGGATCGATTTAGATTTATATCAGGAAAAACAACTTGTATGAAATATTATTCATAACTGACTATCTTTCTCTTCATAAACATCTCATTTATTTTGGGAAAAATTAGTAGATTCCTACTTTTTCTTTGAACTTCTATGCAAATGAGCATATTGTATACTACTCCATAATGATAATTTTGGCATAGACAGTCGTCTTGTCGTCTTAAAGACTTTGGCTTTATAAACCTGGATAAAAGACCAGCATGAATCAGCAGAGCACACACATCCAGTGCTGCTGAATATAGCCTTTCCGTGGCTCTGCTCCAGCCTCTGTCAGTGGGTTCACATCCCCTCTGCCAGACCTGCTGACACAGCCACATTTCCTCCTTTTGACCGGGGCAGGTCAGCCGTAAGAGTCTGAGCAGCATCACACTCACACTCATGAAGACAACATGCCATTCCAGGATGCTGAAAATATGATGTATAACAGCTCAAATTAAACTGGAGCAGATAATCACCAATTGAATAGGAACAAGGATTTGGTCATCACTGACTGTTATAGAGACGAGCATAAGTGTGCTTTAGTCAAATACTACTAAACTTGTTTTATTGAATTTTTTGAGGAAAACTGAGGTCTCAGATTTGGATTGCCAGTGACTGCTTCTTCGTAATTATTGTGCACATGACCTAAAGAACCTGAAGTGAATCGAGTGTCTTCATAGCAGTATATCGCACCTACTGGAAGTAGAAGGCAGACACTTTGCAATACATACAGTACATTCAAATATATACAGTATATTTATTTTTTCAAATTCCCATACAATAAAAAAAAGAATGCACTAATGTTATATTAACATATGGAAAATACTTGCGATCCTCAAATAATTAGAAGCTATTTTTTAGGCAAATATCAGGTACCAGATTTAAAAATCTTAATATGTGCTCATGTTATTGTTTTTATGTATCTTATTACAATTAATAATTCAAGGGTTTTTGCACTTCTTGTTGGACAAATCAAGAAATATTACCATGTCAACAAGGAATTTGAAAGAAGAAAAACGCGGGCAAAAATCCTTGATTATGCGGGCTAAATTCCTTGATTATGCGGGCTAAAATCCATGATTATGCGATTAAATATGCGGGGTTTTATGTGATTTTATGCGGTGAAATTGCGGGAAGTTAGGAAATATGCGGAAAGTTGCGAAATATGCTAAATATGCGGGGGAAAAGAATAACAATTTTTTAAAATATTGGGCTGTCTTATTTATTCTCTCTCACACACAACCTGCCACTAACGTTAAAACCCTTTACTATTCAATTAAACACACTCAATGTTTATTTATTGTAAAAAGCAATTGGGCTATTTTAATCTCACACACACACCCCCCCCACACACACTTCTCCGCCTCATTCTGTTTTCATTTACTCGTTCATTATCTGACCAGCTTCAATCTTGTAGGCTACTCACTTCGTTTCTTGTAGCCCTCTAAAGGGTTTTGGAGGTTGATCCCTCGGTGAACGGGAGTTGAATGGCTTTCTTGTCCGCAGCAGCAGAAAGCATTTTCGAATGTTTGAATGAATCAAAGTGGGTCGTCACCGTCGATTTTCTCTTATGCTGCAACACACAGTTGCACGGGGTGCAGAATAGTTTCCCCCCACTTTTTGCCCGGTCTTTAGTAGAAATGTTCATTGGTAAATGAGCTCTATACAGTGTTGTTTACATTCTGTGATGCGCGAACTGATGACGTCACGTCAAGACGAGTTAACTTTTTTTTCTTCTCAACTTTGTGTGGAAAAATGCGGGGATTATGCGGCCTTTTGATAAATATGCGGCTTTTTAAAAATCTGCGCCATTTTGCTGATTATGCGGTAAATTCTGCAATCACAGAATCGCGTTTTTCTGGAGGGTCTACTTTCAGATACTTAATGTTCAAACATTCCAATACATATTTGGCATATTATTTGAAAAAGAAAATAACAGTTAATGGCAGCCCCACTAACATCCAACTATCGGCTGGCAAGGATTATAAGCAAAACTACAGACTGCATGATACTATGTTACTGCACCAGTGTCAAGTCTGTGGTGTCTGTTTTCAGTCATTAATTCATGCTAAGTGGCT